ATCAGTGAGATTACAAAACAGGAGGACTAAACCTGTTATTATCCCCAAAGTAAAAACACGGAGAAGCCCCCTACAAACGACGCCGTTTAGGGCGAACTATATAAGCCCAACAACGGGCTTTGTTCCTATTAGCCCCCCATTTGTTTCGTTTTAAACCAAAGAAGAGAGAGTTCTCTGGAACTCTCTCAACTGAAGAGAGAACGACCACTGTGGCCGGAAGCTCCAACGGTGGCGCACGTCGGTTAGAGAAGTGAAACCGATCCCAAACAAACCATCTCTTCACCCTCGAACCAAAACCCTAAACCTTTTAGCCTAAAAACCTCTCAAGATCCCTATATCTAGGTTTTATACCTTCGAAAATGCTTTTAACTCCAGCGACCTTTTGCGTTCCCAAAGGACTTTGAACCTCCAGTAAGTTTCTCTTCTCTCCTCTTTGTTATGTTTTTTTTTTATTTTTTTTCTGGTTTGGTTCAATTTTCCACTCTCTCGTTCTATTTTTTTAAAAAAAAAACTGAATGGTTTTTTTTCTTCCAATCGTTTCCTCCTCTTCTGTTTCGAAAATGGTATCCCCTTTTAATATGCTTTCCCCCATATTTTTTTTTTATTATTGCATGAGTTGATATCTTTCCAGTAAATCCCCTCGGGATTTTGATTAGACTTGCTTTGATTTGTTTATTGGGTTTTATGATGGATAATGGATGATTTGTGGCAGGAAACCGATCACTGTTCGATGGATGGGTGATGTTCGGTCATTGTTTGTGCAGGAGAACAGTCGTCGGCGGCGTCAGGCAGCTACCTAGGGTTATGATGAAACCTAGGTAGAATCGGGTTGGGTCGAACGGGTCTAGAACTAGGCTGGTTTGACTTCAATTGGGTCGGGCTCCAGTGGGTTGCTGGGTTGGCCGTTGAATGGATTAGGTTTCCACTTGGGCTTCGGGTTTGGGCTGGCCTCCTGGTGGGCTGTTTTGTAATGACTTTCTGGCTTGGGTCCTTGTAAACTGGTTGGGCTTTAAGGTCTGCAAAATGTGTAAACAAAATTAATAATAATAATAATAATAATAAATAGTAAATAATAAAATAAAAAATAAAAAAAGACCCGGATTAAAATAGGTGTCTACAGTTTTGTTTATGATTTGATGAAGATTACTTCTTTCTAGTGTTTTCAGAAATTTGAGGACTGCATTTTTGGGAGAGAAAAATGAGATTTGTAATAGCATAAACTCAAGTTCTTGGTTTTTCTTCTTCATCATCGTTAGATGAATTAGTGGCGTCAACATCTATAACAGTAATCTGAATGATTCGAGGCTTCATTTCAATCTTTGTTTTGGGTTTTTTGGGTTCTTTATGTTCTCAGATTATTTCACTTCTCATTGAGAGAGACAATAGGGAGTAAAATTTTGAGTAAAGTTGTCAGGTTCTTTGGGTTCTCATATTATTTTTCTTTGTTTTGGGTTCATTGAAAGAGACAAAAGCTTGATATGAAGGGAAATCCAGCATTAAGCGTGTGTAGGGGAAAACCAAACTAGCAACACGTGTTTTATTTTTTTCCACTAAATACAAATTTAAGTATCTATTAAATAAGATTTGTTTCATTATTTAATAAAATAAGTATTCTGGTATGGTGGTAAAAGCCATGCCATTTCACAATTTTTTCCCAAATTCGAATCCCCTCATATGCAATTTAACTATTAATGGTTGCATTAAACAAACGCTAATCACTACTCTACAATAAATAATTATAATATTTTATATTTTATTTTAAAAATTTTTGACGTGGTAGTGCCACATCATCATATACCATGACCTGGACAGCCACGTCAGCATCTCCCTTCACGTGTACATGATTCGTCAACATCAGGCGTTAACTGTCAGTTGATTAACGATTTTCATTCAACGTGGGTTATTTTTGACCCAAAATGAAACGTTGAGTGGTCAAAAGTTCCAAAAAAATCAATACGGGGAAATTGAAAATACTGTCAAATGTTAGCGTTATTTTATTGCATTATGTGAATCTTATAAGCATTAATCCTTTGTTATTATCTAAAGATTTTAGACAAATAAATTAGATCGTGGATCTATTCAAGTAAGCTGATAATTTGTTGACAAAGATCAAACATTCAAACCAAATCTTTTACCATAAACAAGAAAGGTGATAGCTAGAACAAGTATTAATTGTTAAGATAATTCCCATACTTATCTTGAAACAGAAATTCCATGAAATGTGGGATCAATTATTGGTTTAATGGATTTGCAGGGTACAAGGTGGATTAAGGATTTTAAACCACAGAGTAGCTGACTTGTTTTACCAGTAGGCTACTGGTGGAGTAGGGTCATAAAGTGAGTAATAATATTCCCATTTATTCACTACCTTTTGACAAAACCAGTAACGTGAATTTTGAAATATTGGTCGTTGTATTCGGCCTTCTAGAGGTTCAGTGGTTGACCGTTGCGTCATATAGTAATAATATGCCCCAAAATAATTCTAAATTTCTCTCATACATAAATAATTACTCTTTTGTACGTCAGAGATATAAAATACACATACACCAATAATAATAATCTTGTAATGACATTTAATTGTTTAATCAAATATTTGGATTTATTTTCATTTATAAAAGTTTATACTTTAATTAGATATATGAATTTATATTTTAAATTTATAATTTTTGGAGTATATATTAATTTATATTTAAAAATTAAATTTATAATTTAAATATTTAATAAACTAAAAAATAAATTCTAAAAGCAAATTTAGATATTAATTGTACAAAATTAAGTAATAAATTATAGAAACATACGAAGAAATCTCACATCTACTATAAAAGAATCTCACATCTGAAAGGACCCAAAATATGCGCCAGCGGCGCGTAGATAGAGTAGGATAAGCATCATGTGATAGTTAAAGAATCCCGCGAGACCCAACTCCAATTATGACCATGAAATAAAACAAGCCTAGCAAACTTACACATCATCGCCCTGATATTTTCTTCCTTTTCACACATTCTATAAACTGAGTTTTAAAAAACTGAGTTATGATTAATATTTCCCTTTTTTACCCCATTAAGTATTAATCATTGGATAATAATACTATAGTTGAAATACATAGCCAAAAGCGTGTAATACGGAAAATGGTGTTTGTTTTGCAAATGCCGACGTTGTAGGAAAATGATTTTATTGTCAAACATTATGTTCCCACTCGCTTCCCCGCCGTTTAGACACACATCTTCTGCCAGTTTCTTTTTACGCTCAAGTGCTTTTATTTGCATAATCAGTTTCGTCTGTATTATGTTAAATAATGAAGCTTTTGGTTTGTGTAATAAAATTAACTTGATCTTGGAAAACATTTTAAGTTAAGAGTTTGATTTAGTTAAATTGTGTGAGAGGTTAGCAAAAATAATGGGGAGGAGGGTTGACAACACATGGGGTGTGTCCATGTGAACACCTGCTTACCATGCAGCTCTACCGGCTGGCTTAAAACTCTTGTCTCCTTCTTTGTGTAGGACCTCCTCATCCCAAAATCATACCCCTCATGCCTACCACGTGGCATTTTGGTCCACATTATAATAATACTCGTCTTGCCGATTTGTTTACTATTAGAAATTTTAGTCCTCTCTCATGTCTCAATCCTGACCCGACCTTTGCCAATTGATTTCAAATAACATGCAAAAAAAAAAAAAAAAAACTTGAAAATGAAATAATGTAACGAAAATGATAGTGCATGAAAGTGAAAAGTGGTAATATTATATATTCTGTTTAGTTGTGTTTCTTCAATTAGTAATGGTGATGTAAACATTGTAGGTAGGTAGGGCGTGTTAATTTAAATAGCAAAGTGAGATTTGGATGGGGCCAACTGGTCTTATTTAATTAAATAGTTTAGCTTTTGAGTTTGTGTGTTCTTTGACAAAGCTATGCGTAGTATTTGAGAAAATTTGTCGGCCGTGGCCTAAGAGTTTCGACAATGGGGAACGTGTTAGCGGAGTTTGACTGTCCAAAACTAAACCAAACACCGGCTCTTTCTGAGTTTCTGTGTTAGGCCTAGGTGAAATATTCGAATTTGTCACCACCTACCTCCAACTATCCCGTCTTCACTATCCAAGTTATTTTATGACCTTAACACCCTATATATATATAAACACAAATTCAAATTATTATTTCATCAATATTTTAACTATGCATAAATTATAAATTATTTTTAGAATTTTGTACAAAAAATATTATAGAATTAAAAACAAGTTATTAAAGTCAAAAGTGTTGGTCATATTTTAAACTCAGAGGATCAGGAGTGAGTGAGAATAAAGAAGGTGAAGGTGAAGGTCAATGATGCTTGTGTGAGTTAGATTCATAGATTAGACCTCATCATTTCTTCTAAAACTCGACATAACGTGTCAGTTGAAACCACAAGACTTTACCTAATTTGCTTAATTAAATTTTACAGTTTTCCGAAAGAAAGCTTTTTAAATTTGTTAGAACCGATTTAATCCCGAAGCCTAGTGGCCAAGCAAATAAAAGAACATAAAAGAAGGTGGCGAATCTTAGAGGAAGAGAGGGAGAGGGCCCCACATATTTACCATTGTATCTGCTCTAGCCTGATACGTTTGATATTTCGCCGGTTAGCATATTTGCATGGGGCAGTGTTCTCTGCATTTTTGAGATTCTGAATTATTTGTGGATCATTTCCATTTTCATTCACAAAGGAATAAGGGCTTAATCCTTGTAGGCGGAAACGGGAAATCTAACCCAATTGTGTGCATGGACGTTATCTGGGCTTGGGTTAGTCATGGTTGATTAGGCTTCAAGTGACACTTAGAAATGGGTTTGGGCAACAGTTGTAAACACAGTTCTATGAACCCAATTGAAGCCTTCTAAGGAGTGGAGTCGCCGCTCAATCAGCTTCTTGGTTTAGCTACGCCTTTCAGTTCTCCAAAGGTCGAAAAGCTCTACTGTCACTGATAGGTAAAGAGAATCGACGGCAAAATAGGAAAGGAAAATGGCAAGGAATTTATTTGCTCTTTGTCAGGCCTTCAATTTCCGATCGATTTCTTATTCCTCCTCCTCAATTTATAACACGCGAACCACAATATTCTCTCAAATTTCAAGAACCTTATGTTCCTCATCATCAGGTATTATCTATTCGCATAGATTCCACCACTGTTTTCTGTTATTTATAATTTTTATCTTCTTTTTTTTTAAAAAAAAGGGGAATTTTGGTTTCAGTTTCTTCGGATACGAGGCAACCATCTGTCGCGAGGCTTCCGTTTGTGGATGTTTTCCTGGGAAAGATAAAGAACAATAAAACTCATTTAGCCAACAGGAAAATCTATTCACGTAGATCTACCATTTTGCCTGAGTTCGTTGATCAAACTGTCCGGATTTACAATGGAAAAATTTTTGTTCGCTGCAAGATCAATGAAGGCAAAGTTGGTCATAAGCTTGGAGAGTTTGCTTTGACTCGGAAAAGGAAATTTTTGAGGAACAAGGTTGAACCTGCTAAAAAGAAAGGCAAGAAATAAGCATTTGCTACCCAAACCCCGTCTCATTTTGGTAAGAATCTAGTTTTCCACTTTGTTTTTGACGCCTTAGTGAGCATATTGACTAGTGTTGTTGCTTTCAGATGGGGTATGCTAATGTCATGTTTTGTTTAGAAATGATCTCTTAAGTTTCTCTCTTTTTACATCAGACTGTCATGATGGGAGCTCGAGTGTTGAAAGCGAGTGTTCATTATTTTTGAAGTAAACACTGTGATGTGGAAGTAGGGAATTAGACAAAGAAACCAGTTTGAAATTTGGGTTTTTGTATTTATGAATGAATTTGAAAGCTTTCAGATTGCTGCCTATGTGAACAGAAAGATCTCCATCGTCTTTAACGTACTGGATTGAGAAAATGTTGAGGTTTAAGAAAATAAGTAGCCTAATTTAAGCAAGTTTTTTCCTTGCTTAAGACTGGTTGAGTGGAGCTTGTTCATTGTCCGTATCAATTAGCAAATGATGATTATTCATTGTCTTTAAGGTACTAGATTGAGAAAATGTTGAGGTTCAAGAAGATAAGTAGTTAGTTTAAGCAAGTTTTTTCCTTGCTTTAGACTGTTGAGTGGAGCTTATTCATTGTCTGTGTCAATTAACAAATGATGATTTGAATGGTTGGGTTCTTTTCTTTTCTTCCCAGAAAGGGAGGGGTGATTCCGGAGAAAGATGGGCAAAACGAAAGCAATGGAAGAAGGAAGAATTTGGTTTTAAGGTCCTGTTTTCTTAGTCAAATGATTGTAAGGTTTTGTTTGGTCAATTCCTGGCCTGCACTGTTATTCTGAAGAACTATGGTTTTAGATGACCTTACTATTCAATATACTGATCAGAACTCAGATTTATCATTTACGAAGCAACAGTTGGGGTTTTGTGCATGCAGGTTGATTTTGCAATAAAATTGTTCAATTGTGAAACATATGCATGAATAGTATAGGTTAGTAGATGTTACATGCACCTCGGAGGATGGTGTTGAAATTTTTGAAATGCTCGAGGCCTTTTGATCATTGTGATCATAGCTCTCTTCCTCTTTCCCTTTTGGAGAAAGGGTAGATAGCTTTCTAAACCAAGAAAACTGTAGGGACAGAACTAGACATCTTGCAATTGCTATTCACAGCAATTTGTGATTCGTGCATAAATTATATCGCCTGATAAGCGATTTTGAATTGTTACTTTTAAAGCACTACGTTAAACTAATTGAAGAGCAGCATAAAATTGGAACTGCTTCAAAATAAGTATATATATTTTTTATTTCTAACATGTACAAATCAAATTGCAATAAAAACTATGCCTAAAATCTCAAATCTACTCAACAACAATGTATGCAAGAAAGCCTTTATACGATTCCAAATTTCCCTACATCTTGCATTGGAAGACAACCCCATTCTACCGTAACTTATCCCTCAAACCTACCTGCTAGGTTCAGCAGCGAATCTTCAAAGTCGGATTTTGCCGGGACAGACATTTGAGAGATAAAATGAACTTCAAGGATCCTCAAAACATTATGTTATCATAAGGAGTTGATAATCCCTGTCTGGTTTGAACAAAGACGAGCAATTGGGTTCACTCAACTCCCTTAACAAGTCGCTTGTCACGATTAATCATATATTTGAACAGAAGCAGTTTTTGTGAGACTTGCCGCCATATTTCATTTACTGTTCTATTTGGATGAGTATAGTTATAGTACCGCCTCACCTGAATCCACAATTTTAATTCAAAACAGAGCTCAGATGTTTAGAGTGAATTTGAGATTTTATGGTTACTGAAAACTACTTAATGTTGATGCATGAGAACAAATGGTAAAAGAAAACCAATCAAGAATTGTACTACCACACCCCACATATGTCTTCTCACCTTTCACATACATGTTTAAACATAACCAGTTTCTTCTAGAAATGTTACATCCCAGCATTTTGCTACTAGACTGATTATGGAGAGGTGGGAAGTTACATTGCAACAGTCCTAAGTTTTACCAAAATTATGATACACAGACATAATTTCATATGCAACTGAGTGAAAGTAAACACAATATCAAAGTTTGAAAAGCAAAACCATATCATTACCAAGAAATTTGAACTAGAGATATTTGCTAAATAAAATGCCTGACGTTAATGAATGTATCATTTATATTGAACAGATGTGGTTGGATCAATTATTACTTCCCAGTAATGGAGTAAATAATGAAAAAAAGGAGAGGAAGTAAATATGGTATAAACCTCCTTCATTGCTTTCTGAAATTCTGTTATTTGCTCTTCAGGTACTTTTCTCAGCAGTGAAACAAGATATCCTGTTTTAGTGCAGTTGTAGTTTCTACAAATACAGCAAACTTCTTGTAGTCTATAATATCTTCAAAAGGCAACTCAATGCTATCACTGATTATCACAGGAAGCTAACTACAGAATCAAAGAGTCCGCAAGCTGATGGAGTATCTCCTGCAAGATTCAAACAGAACTTTGAAGTGTGCATCCCACGTGAAGCTGCTCTTCTATTCTCTCTGGACTGTGTTCCACGTTTTATTACAACATCATCCTCATTTTCAAGTACATGAAAAAGCAAATCACGAATTTTGCCTCCCTGCAAAATAATAGGCATTATAATGGTATCCTAGTCATTCGCGTGAGATCTGCTTTAGTATAGGTGTGATTTCAAACTATCATCTGCATCTACAGGAGCTTTGAGTACAACTCTTGATAGAAAGGCCGAGGGCAGGCATTTAAGCTTTAGTACAATTCTTAATATTCATGGTATTTAAAACTGAGCTAACCTCTCTAAGATGAACATTGTCAATAAAATAATAGGCACTATAACAGGACCAACAAACAAAAATTCAAACAAGGAACATTAAGTCCACCTAAAATGATAATCTTGCAATTGTTATTGCCAAAAAATTATGGTATGCTAGTCATTCATGAGAGATGGTGACATAATTTTACATGCATATCCTACCAGCAATTTTACCAACTCTCTCTCCTAATATCACTTTCTTTAACATGCCTTCACTTCTGCTCATCTAAATCTCAAATTGATCCTTAAGTAGTTTTTGTTCCTTGGCTTAGTTACATGAGGATAAGAAGAAAATTACAACTTTTGAGTGGTGACATAATTTTCTGTTATTATACTACCTTGTTATCCATGTAAAAACAAAAGCGGAGAACAGAAGGATGCCAGAAGAGAAAATATATCATTTAAACCATTGATTTCTATAAAGCGTTTGTCTGAGTAGTTGATGCATTAAATTTAACCTCAGTAGTTTAAGAGTGTCTCCAACTTGCAATGATTCTGTTCTATAACAATTCAAGCTTACTGGAAAGCTAAGCAGAACCCCAAACAACTAGCCACTAACTGAATCCAGCAACATTTGACAAAACCATATCATCGGACATTATACTAGTGGGGCAAGTACTCATTATAAGAAAAATAAAATTACTTTTCTAACAAAAAAGTCTTCGTTGCAACTATAACACTCATTTCCCGTATATGTTTCCATACACAAGACACAGATATAACATCACCTTTAAAGCATTTCCTATTTTGAAAACTCGTAAAATTTTGTTTCTTTTCATAAGACATTTTAATTTTATAATAATAAAACATTCATTAAATTTACTTATGTAAACAAAAGGTAATGTTCAAACATTTCATCTTTTTACATCATTGTAAATCAAATACTTTTCAGAGCGTTGTTCCTAGGTCTATTACATGCCAATTAAATACATCAAAAGTAGACATGGATTTCGTACAGTTACTGATGAGGCGATCCATGCTTTGTGATGTCAAATGAACTTCTTACTCCGCTTGTATTAAACCTACGCATGAAATTAACACAACTAAGTAATTACTTAGTGAGACATAATAATCATAAGTAAAATTATAAACCATTTGAATATCACTTGACTATTTCAATTCATTATAAATTCTATGGTTTGCACTCGTAGTGCCAATACAGAAATTCACAAACTTATTATAAATTTCTTAGGTTGCACATATATTGCCAATAAAGAAATTCATAAACTTATTATGAATTTCTTAGGTTGCACACATAGTGCCAATACGGAAATTCATAAACTTATTATGAATTTCTTAAGTTGCACACATAGTGTCAATACAGAAATTCATAAACTTATTATGAACTTCTTAGGTTGCACACATAGTGCCAATACGGAAATTCATAAACTTATTATGAATTTCTTAAGTTGCACACACAGTGCCAATACGAAAATTCATAAATTTATTATGAATTTCTTAAGTTGCAGACACAATGCCAATACGGAAATTCATAAACTTATTATGAACTTCTTAAGTTGCACACATAGTGCTCATCCGATAATTGCAATACATACATTAAGCAACATGCATCTATGACTATCATAACATATAAGAACATAATAAATGCACTCACCTGGCCTGCCTTGCTATTATATACAAAATGCAAATCCGACTACTCAATAACTTTATCTTTGTCTTTCAGTTTGCTTGACTCGGGAGCTTGATTATGATCTACACAAACATCCATTAAGGACACATACCATACCAAATGTTAGTATATTCCCTAACATTAATACTTTAATAATACTCAAAAGTACTATAATTTAATTTTCTATAACGATTTCAGTCTATCTTATAATTCATGGTTCAATAGTATCGGTACCCCTAACATGGTATCGATACTTCTATATTGTGGTACCGATACTCCCTTTTAGTATCAATATCATTTCTACATTCTGGATCCATGGTATCGATAACTTTCTCTTAGTATCGATACTCCTATACTATGGTATCGATACTCCCCTTCAGTATCGATACCATTTCTACGTTCTGGATTCCAAGGTATCGATACCTTTCTCTTAGTATCAATACTCACATCATTATCGATACTAATTGCATCAGTATCGATATTGCTCATCTGATTTCCCCAAATTTAAACCTATAGTATCGGTACTGGTCTACCAGTACCGATACCCTTACCTAGATTTTCCATTTTTCAACCCGATTTTTACCCAAATTTGGTCAAATTCCCTTATGTTTACTCCCAACAATACTATTAAACTATTCTTTACTTATCTCAACTAACTTTCCTTCATTTAGCTTCTTATAACATCTAAAATCTCCAAAGAACATCTCAAACCAAGAATCATACCACTTTTTCTAACATGTTTTTAATCACATCCAAGGCTTCTAATCTCTTTTTACTACTTTGACAACTCAAATATACTAATAAACATCAATAAAAACTCATATTCCAACATATCATTCCAAAAACCCATTTTCTTCAATCTCAAATAATCCATCCATCTCTTAGCTTTCATCTTATTTAAACCTTCCTTAATCCTCTATAATACTCAATGTTTCAAAAACAAACCAAAAACGAAAAGGAAAAGCTAGCCAAATGAAACTTTATCTTTGGCTATGGAGGAGAGCCCTTTCACGGGAAAGAAGAAGAAGAGATAACTTGGTTGGCTTTTATTTTTCCCTTTTCCCTTTTTAAATCCCTAATAAGGAAATGAAAATTCATTTCCACTGTAGCCCCCTAGACCCAACCTATGCGTTTCGACTAAGTCTAGCGGATTACATTAAAGATTCTCAAAGACATTTTCCCCGAAATATTATTCTATATATATATATATATATATATATATATATATATATATATATATATCATATTACAAATGACATTTATATAAAAATATATAATAATTAACGATAAAAACTAAATTTGTAAATATAAAACATGAAAGAAACCAGGTAAAATATTACATTAAATAAATTCGAAGCATCAAAAATAAAAAATCAGTAACAAAAGCATAAAACGTCATAAAACGATAAATATTTCAAAAATAAGGTACATGTCACCATAATTAAAAACAGTTCAAAAAACAAAATATTACAACAAAATACTCTGAACTAAATGTACAAATCCTCCAAGTGCCTGATACGGAGTGTCTATCCGAGAGTATCTGAAAGGGGTAAAACAATTTGAAAAGTGAGCTAGAGGCTCAGTGTGTCCCAACAGTGAAGAAATAAAAACATACATTTATGATTTTTAAAAACAGTACAAATCACAGTCATTAAAACATCATAGGAGTTTTTAATTTAAAAACTCCGTATCGCCCTCCAACCGAACGCCATGTGAAGATCCCCAGAATTGCACAACCTAAGGGAGTAACTCGGGGCCTGCGAGCCTACCCAAGACAATTCCTGGGGCCATTAAGGCTTACCCAAGAAAATTCTCAGGGCCGTAGAGCCTACCCAAGGCTCGACTTAGGTCCATAAGGAATTATCAATCGGTGTTGAACCTATCAGAGGAATTACCAACAGCGACTGAACCTGCCAGATTCTTCCTACCAGAACCCAGAGTACCCCGAAGAAAACATTTTTTTCAGATGGTAACCAATAGTAACAGAAATTCAGAGTTCAGACAGATAATCAGTTTTGTAAACCGGTATCCAGAAAGCATAAGTCGGGCAATCATGCTTTACATTTCAGTAAATTCGAAATCAAGTAAATCATACAGTAGTCAAATCATATCAAACATTATATTTCAAATCAGAGAAAACAATCATGTACACATGAGATTTCAAACAGATATTTAAAACATTTATACTGCACACAAGGAACACACCTCGATAACAGGATCAGTCTGAAAAAATCTATCGAGTATCAGCTTCACTAGGCTCTTCGACTGAACGAGAACCTAATCCATATCAGAACAGGGTTATATTCGGAACAATATTCTAAACAAAATAACTAACAGGATTTCAAAACTATACGAGTATTCACGGCTTCTCGTGGACGAGCGGATCGGGAGGAACCAGGTCGAGCAGTGAGACAATCAGGAGATCCCCAAGTACCTTTAACATAACATAACAATAATTAGTCCTTGACCATTCAGTTCAACTAACTAACTTAAAACACTTAGATAAATATGAATTTTTCAGGTTTATAGGCCAATTCGAAGGCTTTCGGTTTTGAATTTGGCAAAACGGACTTCAAAAACAGATTCGGGACGTCGAAAATATGTTAGAATAGGTATATTCGAAAAAATCAACGGTCGTTTAATGGCCGGTCAATGCCGGTCAAAGTTATGGTCAACAGTTAACGACCAACTTTTACACAAATATCGCCCTAACAGAAATTAATTACGTATTAGGCACCCTTTTAAAAATATTTACAAAAATAGCACCTTAACAAAAATTAATTACATATTAGGCACCCTTTTAAAAATATTTACAAAATAACACCTTAACAGAAATTAATTACGTATTAGGCACCCTTTTAAAGATATTTACAAAAATAACACCTTAACATAAATTAATTACGTATTATGCACCCTTTTAAAAATATCAACAATCTCCCAAAACCCACGTGATTTGCTATTCATTCACTTTAGATTTTCTTTCATATTTTTTCATTTCCTAGCAGTATCTACCGAAATTATATAAACGAGCAAAGACGTTTCACCGACCGGTCAACAAACCCGGAAAACGCCTCATCACAGATCAACCCTTTGTTCATAAAAACACACGATAAACGGTCATAGATTTGTAGCAAGAACTTGATTGAGATGAAAAAGATACCGCTTTGAAATATCCTTAGGAAGTTTATGCTCTCGATTTGGCCAAACGGTGACCGATTATGGAGCGAGGTTGGTCGGGGTCGTTTCATGGAGTCCAAGCACACCTGATGGAGGTGGTGGTGATGTGCACCGCCGGCCGGAGCAGGGAGGAGGAGGAGGGGCGACTGCTAGCTTAAATGAAGGAAAATTGAGTTTAAAACACCGAGGGGTTCTGCTATAACATGGTTAATAATCACCCTACATTTGAAAATAAAACCACCATATATTATTTTCCATAAAAAAAAAACGTGGCCTAGCGGTTAAGCCATTGTCTGCCACTACATTATTCTATTTAGAGTGCCCATTATTTCATTCTTAGTGCCCATTATTTTATTTATTTTTTTGTGTGGCAATTTATGGGATATGGCATCCCCTTAAAGAACCAAAATGCCCTCTTTATTTATCCATTGTTACTAATTGGTCTTAAACACTATTCCCTATCATTTCTTACCTTTTATCATTTATTCAAATAAATCCTCAAATTTTAAATCTTTTCAATAAAGTCACTAACCTGATATTTAGGGTATTACAATAACACTAACTACAAAGACCCTTACATAAAAAACAAGAGATGAATACCGTATCATACCAATCAAAACAATGGGATAGCTCTGGGGATAAGTTTAGGGATCATTATCAAGAAATCTCAATGGAAACAACTCCACACCAGCTGGCAAAACACAAAAACACAAGACTTTGAGCACATAAAAAAAAAAGAATTTGGAATATCGATTCATAATTCGAAAATGCTTATGGAAGTCGGGGGGACTTAAGGTTGAGAGATGGGGAGGAGGCGAATAGAGGATATGATTGAGAGGCGGATACTGGTCCATGAGAGAAGGCAAATACATGAGAGGCCGATATTGGTCCAGGAGAGAAAGCAAATACATGTACTTGGTTCCATGGTACCCTTTGATCCCATCCAATGTTCGCATCTCAGGGTCGAGATCATACAACACGAAGTACTCAAATAAGTTATATAACTTCTTTGTTCATAATCATTTATTTCTAATGAATACTGGAAGTTGTAATTTCTGATATTATAACCTTGACCCTTTCCCATTTCATTCTTCCTTAATTTGTCCTAGTCAATTTTAATTCACTCCATTTCCTATAACATTGAGAATCAAAGTTTTTCCTTCCTGTTATTGGCACAAACAAATCAACAGAATGAAATCAAGAAGGATCAAATTTTTTAGGAGGTTTTAGAGGACAGTGGAGAATGATTACATGCCTCTGAGAAAAATGATTAAACAATTTAAATCGAAATAATCCAAGTCTGAGAAAGCTAAAAAGAATAAGTGTTTCTGTAGAAGCAAAAGATCCCACATCCGTGGGGAAAGCAAAGAAGGAATGGTTTATAACTCAGAAGGAAATAACGTATGCTTGGGGTCGTAGTCCTATACGTGGGTGTTGGGCCTTGGGTACCACGTTCTTCTTTTGGGCGGGTTCAAATGGCTTGGGACATGCCCTGGAGTTGTAGGTGGGTTTTTTAGGGTTTAGGGATTATTTTAAACGAAACTATACTGACATACGAATCCAAAGGTGTAAAAATCATCCTCTAATTATTTCTATATAATTTATGATGATTTTCTAAACTTATTGTTCATAACACAAATCTGGGCAGATTTCACTAACTTATATTTTCAGCTTATTCACTAATTCTATTAGCATATTAACTGAAAATATATGTATGAATCAAAATTCACATAATAGTTAGAAGTTACTTCTTACGATAGTAATTTTGTCACTGGCTCATCGCAATCCAATGTTTTCTCGATAACACAAATACGAATTAAATATGCACTCACATAGTGTCCTTAGCTTGTAAACCTTCTTTGCACTTCATATTGCGTCCTTAAGCTTCTTCTTAGCTTTAACATTGCTTGATCTTAATTCCTATCGTAATCTAAATGAACACCATTTACATAACAAATGCATTTCAAACAATATGTCAGAATCTTACTAACATAGGCACACAACAGAAAATAAATTCCTAAAAATATTTCGATACTAATTTCGTATCACATCATCAACGTTGACCTTAATACTTCAAATTGATCAATAAATCCCTTTTTATCCAAATTCACCGAAACTTCACATAACATTTTTCAACTTTCAATTTTAACTACCATTTATGAATTATTTTTGAATTCATATCAATTTTCCATTTTATTCCAAATAGTCATTTGCCTTTTAGCTTCAATTCAAGTTTCAAAAAACTTAATTAAATTTCCATCATCTAATTTTCATCCCAATACCTCAACAACTAAACTATTACTACTTAAGTCACTAACTTTCTCAATATTTGCCATTTAGTACTTAACTTTGTCAATTTTCCAAAATAGTCAAATTTCACATTCTAACATAAAATTCAATATTCTAACTTTCAATTCCAGCATAGTACATCATCTTTCTAACATTTTCACATAATTGCCATAATTTCTAAATAGGTCCCCTAACTTTCATAAAATTACAAAATGACCCAAATAACTTTTTAAAGCTTGCATAACCTTTCAAATATCATTTCTAAGCCTAGGGATTTTTTTCACAATTTTTCTCAATTAATTACTTAGGGTCGAATATCATAGTGGTTAGGGTTCTTGATTTTCACTTGATTCAAGCATGGATTCCATCTCTAAACAATATTTCAAGGCTTCTACAATGAAAGCCCTAACATAATATAATCAAATCACAATTTTCTCAAAACCCTAGGTCATGGCCTAATAAAATTTCACCCAATTTCAAGCAGTTTTAATCATCATACAAGCTTTAGAGTTAATCTCCAACATAAAAAACATAAAAATCTTTCATCAAATCCTCAAAATCAATAAATACTACATAAACCCTAATTTCCAAACTCATCATATAATCATGATCTCCATGTAATATTTATACCAAATGATAGAGAATTTCGAGGTGGTTAAATCTTTATCTAATAGCTTAATCCAAAAATCAATCAAATAAGTTTAAAAATAAAAAATAAAATTCTTACCTTAGATCTATGGTGGTGCACATTTTGGGCCTATAATAAAATGATTTTTTTTGTTTTTCTTCAATTAAAAATAATACACTTGGCTTAATCTAATATAAATGATTTTCAAATTAATTGAATGTGAAATTATCATTTACCCTTAACGAAATATGGTAATTTCAAATTTCCATTGCATTATTATACCTTTTAATATTCCAAAGTCAAATATGAACAAATAAAAATCCACTTTCCACCTTTGCTCTTGCAAATTTTCAAAAACTACAATTAAGTCACAAAATTTTCCAATTTAAGCTAAATATGTAAAATCAACTTCAATTCCACTGATCCACATTAAATTTCATTGTTCTAAAATTTGGAAATAATATTTCCAAACTTTATCGATCATCTTTCAAATTTTCGTAAAATTATGGTTCGATCCGATTATCTGATTTTCTTTCAGACTTTATTGTTTTATAGCTTTTATCAAAGTAGTTACGACAATGATGCCTTCAAATGTCATAAATCAATCACTTAATTTCGAAGGTATATTGCACAGTGTGTTATGTACACCTCCTCGGTAAGATGACGACGATGACAGAGACAATCAAAGCTTACGACCCTGGCGTACTCAACGAGTCTCACGACATTATCATTCAACCACTCTGAGATATCTTCAAGAACTTAGGAAAAATAAATATATTTTCTTTGTAAATATTTATTTTTTCAATTATTTAATTACTTTGTTTTTTTAATTTTATTTTTTTAAAAATTTTATTCGACCGAACTCGTCACCTCAAGGTGATGAGTTCCAAGTAACCGTTGGCCATGACCGTTACCCATATAGTCGTTGACCATATAGTCGTTGACCATATAGTCATTGCCCATATAACCGTTAGCCATGATCATTGGCCATATAGCCGTTGGCTAACGTCTTTAAACCATGGTAAATCTAGTAATTCAAGTAGCTTGAAAAGAGAGGAAAATGTGCGGGATCGAGAAGACTATCAAGGAGAAGGTTCAATAGTGATGCAAAGGTGAGTGTATTTAACTCGTATTTATGTTATCGAACAAACATTGGCTTGCGATGATCCAATGTCGAAGTTTCATTAAGTAGTGTCTCCTAGTGTATTCGAAGTGTGATTCAAGCTTATATATTTAATTGGTAAGCTAATAGAATTAGTGAATAAGTTAAGGATGGAAGTTGGTGAAATCTATATAGAAATTATGTTTTGAAATGTAAGTTTAAAAAACCATCAGAAATTCTAAAAACATAATTGAAGGATGAATCTTATATAATTTGATTCTTATAACATTCTAGTTTTTTTAGAACAAAATAATTTGCTATATATATATATGAATTTTTAATCGGTGATAGGTCAGAAAATAGGACATCAAATTCTGCTCAAAATAACTTCTGTCAGTTAAATTTGAAAATTTGCTATAAATTGTACAAGTGGAACTAGACGGAGTGCCTTATATGGTTATGTTCATATTCGAGTCTATTTTTCATTGGTACAAACAAAATAATTGTTTATTATTTATATTAATACATAATAATATTTCTTTGAAGATAGTGCAAACTGTCAGAATATGAAATTTTGATAAATTGTGTAATTAAAGCAATTTAAAGAAAAAGATTAAGCCTAATACTTGGTGAGGCTTATATTTTGATTTATAAGAAAAGTGTAAAATTATTGCATTTGTTTATTTGATTAATTTGATTGAGGATGATTGTAACATCCCCAAAACAGGTTCAGTAACCAAATTATAAGAATTCAAAATTTAGTGGTTTAATTAGAATAACTTGAAAAGTTCAAGGATCTATTTTGGAAATTTGGTTTAGGACTTGATATCAAAGTTTGATTATTGGAAGGGTATTATGGTCTTTTCAAAGGAAATGTTTTTATATTCTCTCTATAAGTGATATAAAACACGTGGAAAATGGGAGAAAGGATTATCTATAGCCTTCCTCAGCTTTCTTCTTCCTTTCCACCGTGGATTCTTGCATAAGGTGAGTATGATTCTTAGTGATTATTCCTTTCATTTTAAGGTTGATTTTGATTATTGGAGCATTAAGAAAGCTTTGGGAAGCTTAAAGAGAATTAGAAACTAAAAGATGGACCAATTATGAGAAATTAAGTAAAATGAGTTTTTGAGTGAATTGTTTAAAAAGAATGAGTTAATGGATTTTGAAGTTGAATTTAACTTGTCATGAGTTGAAGTAAGAAATTCAAAGTGTTAGAAATGAATTTGGAATATGTTGATAAATTGGTATGATTATTGAATTCAAGTGTGTATGTGGGATATTGAATATTAGGATGAATTAAAGTGATCTAATTTGATTTGAATAAGTATCATCAAGCTTAAAGGGTTAAAAGGAAGTTCTAGAAGAAGATTTAAGTAAGTTTGGTAAATTTTCAGGTAAAATAATTAAGTTCTGAGAATAGGGTATCAGTATTGTTCATCCAGTACCGATACTTCAAAGCAAAATGAGTAGATTTTGAGCTCGGGGTATCGATACTGAAGGAACAATATCGATATCATAAGATAAAATTTGATGAAATCTTTAAGAAGTATCGATACCTAAATAGTGGTATCGGTACTGGTTGAGAAAGTATCGATACCAAGGGTCTAATATTGATACCATTAACTAGTTATAATTCCAGAATATCAAAATGGTATCGGTACCTAGGGGATATCGATACTATAAGAGGGTAGTATCAGTACTATAGTAATAGTATCGATACTATTAAGCTTGAAATACTAAATTAAGTGATTTTTTCAGCTTAAGTTCTATTGATTGGTTTTAAGTAAATTCGAACTCTGATATTCATATAAGTCATATATTTGTGTAGATATCGATCGAAGACAAGACCAAGACGATTCAAAGTTATAAGAGTGTACAAGAGTTATATGTGTTTGAATAGACTAGTGAGGCCAGATGTGTGCATAATATTAAGTGTATGAAATTCTATGGAAATAAGACTTGCGATGAGTCTATTTTCCATATTGGGGTACATGAATACAAGCATGCACTTGATATGAATGTTTTATATGTCATATGTTATTGCATGGGTTACATGTTATACTATTTGTGTTCCATGAGCTATGTGAATGTATGTTGGAGTGATCAATTATGTTAAATGATATAATGAAATTGTGTGATGATGTGAACATGAAATATAAGCTATGTGATGAGAACCTATGTGTTTATATGTCTATGAGAAGATATCAGAATAAGATATAAGCTACGCGACATATGAATATGAAATCATATGAAAACGTGACATGAACTCGCGAAAATAAGCTACGTGATTACAAGTACATGTGAATATGTCTATAAGATATAAGTGATATGAACTATCATAAATTATAATGCCCATGTTATGCGATATGAGAGCTAGGGTATAATTGGCATGCCAAGAGTCGAGGGTTCTACGTGGTCCTTCGGGACATATATGTAATCCTTTGGAACATATATACGGGTCTTCGAGACATATATTTGGTCCTTTGGAATATATATTTGGTTCTTAAAGAGATTTTTATGTGGTCCTTTGGGACATATATATGGTCATTCGGGACATTCTATGTGGCACTTCGGTGTAATTATACGAGTTGTAGTGACATCATTTGTGCACAACCTCAATGCACTCACATATCTTTAGTTCTCACAAGTGTACCATGGGCTAATAAAATAGATAACATAAATAAACCTTGTGTGATGTTAGGTGTATTTCTTTGTGAAATGTGTTATATGCTTTGTATAGATAATAAGTACAAGATTATATGATAAAAGGGACAAATGATAATAATATATGATAATGCTAAGAATGTAGATGATGATATATGTGCATGTATGTATTTGTTACATGAAAGGGTATATGATTTTGTATGATATGATAATATTAAATATTCATGCATTGTTAGGGGTTAAAGTTTACATTATATGTTTTTATGCCTCACTAAATCAATGACTTAGCGTGCGAGTGTTTCACACTTAGGTTACGATGAGAGTAAGGAGAAAAGAGGAGCAAGACATGTCAGCTTCTCCTTTCCAGAGATCAGATCAGAAACTTATTTGAATAGTATGTATTTTTATAAGGAATGTAGTTGGCATGTAAATAAAGATTTGAATTGTATATGCCCTGATCAGTTTTGTAAAATCATATGATTGTAATTAATGAAAAATATTCATTTTCTTGAAATATGAATTTGAATTTTTAGCTAATTTGTAAAGAAAAACATTTTGAAATGTCAATGTGACACCTCAGATTCGTATCCAGGTCTGGTACGGGTTGGGGGTGTTACAACGACTAGTGATAAGTCAACCTCTTATTATTTTAAAGTATGTTTTCTATTTTAAATATAAATTATTTATATAATGTTCGCATGAATATTTTATGAATGTTTAGGGTATGAATTACCCAAATTATGATTTTTATGAGAATGATATTATAAAAATGCTATTGATTGGAAACACTGAATTATAAATGATATGAATTTAAAATAAAGCCCATTTTATATTGCATTAAGAGTCGTAGTTACAATTGACATTCCATGAGGTGGAGTGATTGATATATTGTGGTGTTACCGGTGGGTACACTAGTATATTTCTGATATGATTGCACTTTGTGTACATAATATGATTCCGATGTGATAACACTGTGTGTGCTTATGATATACAGTGGTGTTACCGGTGGGTACACTAGTATAATTTCGATATGATTGCACTTTGTGTGCATATTATGATTTAGATTTTATAGCACTGCGTGCTTATGATATACAATGGTGTTATTGGTAGGTACACTAGTATATTTTAGATATGATTGAACTTTGTGTGCATATTATGATTCTGATATGATAGCACTGTGTGTGCTAATATGTTCTGATTGATATGATAGTACTAAAGTGTTTACTGCACACACTTATCTGACTCATGTACCTTGTATTCTCTTACATATACATTGGGATATAAAAGTAAATGTGAAAGTTATGACAGAATATGAAAGAAATGAACATGGAATTAAAAAGAAAGTTCTGAAATATGTTTGAACGAAAAGAAAATAAGTTGTTTATGATATTTTATATTGACTTACATGATTTTATACATGATTTTTGATAAAATCATGAGATAATGATTTTTCAGGTTTTCAAGATGAAAACAACATGAATATACCGGTTTGAATGTTTTAATTATTTTATTTAAATTATAGAGTTATGTTTATAATATTTTATGAAATTTATGTTTTTATCTCATTTTAACTATATTACCGTCTCACTAAGTTTTACTTAGCGCGTGAAAAATTTTATGCGTAGGTTCGAGTAAAGAAAAGAACACGGAGTGAGAAGTTATCTGAGCATCTTATGAAAGTCAAACCTACCTACAAAATCAGTAAGACATCTTATCTTTGACTTATTAGTGGCATGTACATTACACCTAATGTTATGTTTTATTGAATTTATTTTAAAAGGGTATGTAATAGTAAGTATGATTATTTTCTTTAGTTTTGACTAATTTTAGTATTTAATCACATTTTTGAATGAATAATATAAATTTTATATTTTAAATGGTTTTTAAATTTAGCAGTATTTGGGTAGTGATATATAGTTATGATCAGTAATGAACTGCCTACTTACTGAACGAAATTGGATTTGTTTGTAGTGATTAAATATTATTTTATGATTTTATACGAATAAGGTAAAATATTTTAAATTGAAACAATGAAAGTTTAAAAAGAAACAAGATTTAAGACTTTGTGAGCAACAAATAATTGTCAAGTTAATGTGCCAATTGTAGCTCGTATATCGAGACATATATGGGTTATGGGTGTTACAGCCTGAGACACAGACGTTCCACTTCCCGAGTGGCGAAGTGACGATTACTTTAGAAAACGTCACTTACCAAGTCGGTGCTCCTATAAATGGAACCCCTGTGGTGAGTCAGAACATGTCGTTGGTCTCCCAAGTTTCAGGAAAATGGCCACCATCCGACGTCATCGACATTTTTAGGGT